CGCAGCAGGGCCTCAGCTACCAGGCCCGTCCCCAGGCACAGGGGCGCTACCAGACACACAGGAATTTTGGCTCTCGTCTTACTGGCCAGACTGAAGCTACACCTGGCACCAGGGATCAAACTAGGTTGGTTTAAATTATCTTGATTTAGTCTGGTCAATTTTAGTCTCCATACTTTCTAATTGTCTTGTGAATTTCACTCTAGAGAGAGGGAGACAAATCAAAACTATGGAAGCAGAGAAGGATTGGGCTACAACCCCAAATTGCGCATTATGCCTGCAGGGGTGAGTCTAAATTTGTGGTTGTGTAAGGATGACTTGGATATCTTTACTACACTAGATCAACACACACTAATGGCTTGAATAATCTGTTGTACTTTCAGGTGCTGTAGGTGTTTCATCCAGTGATCCTTGTTGACTTAAACGTGTACCATGAGTCTAATTGGAAAAATAAAATTAATTTTGGAATATTGGTGTGCAAATCTATCTTATTTAAACTGAGCTGAGTGTTCTTTAGGTGCCATATGAAGGGGTTTTATATTGGAGACACAATGCAATCCAGCCAGTGGGTTGAGCATGGTCTGTGGTATTGCATGTCTGAAGATTCTGTCATCCAGGGAATGGTATATCCAAGTGATCAAAAATGGGTCAACTGGACTTGGTTAAGTTTCTTGTTTGGTATTGTAATGCAGCTTAACTTCTGTAAGTGGGTTCTTGGTGGTTTTCATGGTGTGTCTTGTCAGCCCATCTCCAGTTTCAACAAACTTTGACTTAAAGTTGATATTCCCCACAATCTTAAAATTGCTTTAACAGTGTCATTTGTTTTTGATGGTGATGGGAATGTTGTGAGGCAAGATGAACTACAGGTCTCCTTAGTCTGCAGTAACTTAGTTTGGCCTCTTGAGGGCAATCTAAACAAGCTTTGAACATGACTGACACAACCTTGAGCCAACCCCACATTATGAATCTGCACTTGGTTCTAAATGCAGCACAATGTTAGCGCTTAGCTTGATTGGTCACCTGATGGTCCAATATATTGTGTTTGCTGTAATTTTGATCTGCACTGCTACCTAGCTCTTTGATTGGTGCTTATATGACTTTGATTTGATATACCTTAAACACAAAGGTAAAGATGAAATCCATATATCTAACTGTGATTGATCCCAGAAGTGATGAGTTCACTCTGAGCTGGTAGTTTGTCACTTGGGTTGTGGTTTGCTCTGGTGGTTTAGCAAAAGGAATTCAGCTGAAAATTGGGCTGGTAGTGGGAACACTTCAGTGATTAGCTTATCACTTGATGCTGAGTGCTAATGTTGCTCAGTATGTGCTGGATTTGTAAATAATGAAGTATTCACTGATTTTGGTCACATCATTGTGTCTGTTGTGTTGAAAGCTGGTTTCTACTGCTTCCAAGAGGCCAAAAGCAGGTAGTGCAGATTGAATGAGGCCTGTAGTGCAGCTTCACGGCACAATGATCACATCAACTGTGCAAGAAATGAAACATGTTTAATTCATCAAGGGTCATTAGCTGAAATACAAACAGCACCTGAAACTGCAGAAGTAGTTATGTCATTGGTGAGTTCATTCAGATTTTCAGAATCTTTCAGAATTCAGTTTTTCTACACCAGACTTCTCAAGTGGACAAAACTTGTGTGACATCACCTGATGTCATGTTGTCCCCTTGTTGCTGATGACTGCCAAGCGTAAGAGCTCACTGAGAATGTGACTGATATTTTTAAAGGTTGTGTTCCTCGCTGGATTCCACTGCCCCCCGGTGGCAAATAATACAACTGCTGCACATCGGGTTGGTCAAAATTACATCAGGCTCATCTCTGTAAGAGGAAATAACATTTTCATTGTGTACAAGTTTAGCAGTGGGCAAAACCATTTGCTCAGAAGACAAACAAGGATGAAAAGCAAAACACAACAAATGAATGAATCAGTTTTCAGATGTAGTATAGAGAAGTTTATAGAATAGAAATGTGCAGCTTTTACATC